TGTTATTTTTGGAGACGGCTCTGGAGGTAAGTTTTCAGACGACCCTAGGAGGAGAAGGGCGGGGGCCGTGATTGTTGGCTTCCACCTTGGGACTGATGGTTCCTGGACTCTCGGAGAGGCCCTCGGTGCCCCCCTCCTTGGGGAGAAGCAGTCTGTCCCCAGGGCCGAGCTCCTCGCCTTTTGTCTAGCGCTCGAGAATGTCCCAGCAGAATGCGAATTCACGTTTGTGACGGATCACAAAACAATCGCCAGGACATGGGCCCGTCGGTTTGCCACCGCTGACCCAGTTGGGGTCAACGAAGGTCTTTGGACCAGGGCCCGCAAGGCGTGTAGTTTGGACCACTTCCCACCAAGAGGAGGAAACTTTGCAGAATTTAGACACGCCAGAGAAGCTCCTTTTCGTTTCAGGCAATGCCAGCGCTGATTGTTGGGCGGGGGAGGCGTCGGAGCTGGCGTGGTCGGGAGTGGTGGGGAGGGTCCCTGACACGGATAAGGTAGATGTCGCGGCTGCGCTGATCCGCCAAAGGGCCAGACGTGCCCCAGCGGCGGCAGTGGAGGCCGAAGTAACGAACAAGGCCGAGGGGAACCCCACAACGAGGGGTCCTCGGGTCCCCAGATTAGTAGCGCTTGCAGCAGCGTCCGAGCATATTTTGGAGCCGTGCGGTTCTAGCCAGAAATACTGGTGGTGCACCATCTGTGAGAGAGTTTTGCCCCGATACAAGGCTCGGGATTTCGCAGCTGCGAAATGCTCTGGTTCCCCTGCGGAACCACAGGTTGGAGCCATGGCCCCTCCAGGAGAGAGAGAACAGGCCCTGCCATTCGAGGACAGGGCATGTGTGCTGAATTTCACCCCTCTCACAGAATTCAGTATGTGGAAAAATGGTTCCTGCACGTTTGTTCGGTGTGTGGACAGTATGTCACGATCACGCCGTCGAACCTCGCCTCAAGTTGTGTGGGCAAGAACCGCAATGGCAACGAGAATCTTTCCAGGCTCAGAGGCGGCCTTTTTCCTCGGCGTGAAGGGCCCCCGAAAACCGTTCGGGAGGCCATCCTGGCCCGAGATGCTGCTGCTTGTTTGACTGCGGACGCCAGCGCCCCGCAGCAGGAAGACCCAGGAGCCGTCCAGCCAGGCCAGGTTGCTGGGCCTTCGGGGGCCCAGGATGGAGCGGGGGATGGGCCCGCGGCTCCTTCCAGGCCTGGCCAGGGCCAGGCGTCTCGGCCCCCTAAGGCCGAGGCGATCCCAGGGCTTAAGTCGCCTCCCAGGACAGAGTCCGATATCAAAGAGGTCCAAAAAAGAGGTCCGCTGCCGCCCCTCTGTTGCCCCTTCGTCCTCCGCCCCTCTTACATCTGTTCCTCCTCCTCTCCCCCCAGGAGGGCAGCGCGAGAGCTCGGAGTTGCGAAGCGCGAAGCGCGATCTCAGCTGCCCCCGTCGCCGGGCCCTGGGGCCGCCAGAAACTCACGGGGACCCAGGGCCCGTTTCCACCAGGCCCGCTCTCCCACATGCCAACCCAGCACGTGCGCGAGCACACGTCACCCTCCCCCCCGTTCGCCCCCGCCTCGAGATGCCCGCCTCTGGTGGCACGCCGCCGGAGTGTTGAAGTCGACCTCCCGCCAGAGGCTCTGGTGCCTGACCCTGCTCCTTCTGCACCCCTCCCTCCTCACTCGTCTTTCCGTTCTCGGTCCTCTCTTTTACAATCCTCCATCCCACCTCCATCATCACCCGTCCCTCCTCCCTTCGCCATTCCCCCCTTCCTCCATCCTCCCTCCTTCCTCCCTCCATCCTCCTTCTCTCCATCCTCATCCCTTCAATGTCATGAATATGATCCTCCCCCTCCATCTCCTCCTCCCTTCTCCATCTCACTTCTCACTTCTTCTCCCTTCATCTCTACCCCCCTCTCTCATCATCCTCCCTACTTCCTCCCTTCTCCTGCTCTCCCTCCCATCCAATCCCGCCGCCTCCCACCCCTCTCACCTCCTTCCTCTTCCCACATCTCTACGTTATCCTCTCTCTCCCTCTCTCTCTCTCTCTCTCTCTTTCTCCTTCCATTTCCGCTCAGTTTTATCCCCCTCTCCTTAGAATTTCATCCATCTTACCTCCCCCCTCCTCCCTCCCGTCGTGTCATACCATCCTGTCCTCTGCAATCCCTTATCATCCATCCCCTTCCATCCTCTTCCCGTTTCATTCATCCCTCCTTTTCTCTTTTCTCCTTGCATCTCTGCCGATGATCTTCTCGCTTTGCCCTTCCCCCTCCCCCAAGCATGATCAGAAGGCTGCTGTGTTCCGTCACGTGTTTTTGCATACGGAAGGTTCGTGTCGTGCCAGCGCGGAGGTGATCCCGCCGCGGGCGTTCAAGCTTGAACGCCACCAGTGGCCCAGAATCGGCCAATGTGGAACGATCGGGCGATCAAAAGACCGCCGATCGTTCAAGCTTCAATGATCCACGCGGTGTCAGAAGCCAACTTCGAGGTCGTCACGACACGAGCTAACAGTGCGTGGCCCTCTCGAACGCGCCTCTTGTAGGCCTTTTGGAGGTCTAGGTATCATGCTGGTGGGGTTGGCTTCTAGCAGTGCTGCAGTGGCGCGCTCGTTGGGCCCATCTTCGGTCGTCTTGACAGCCTCTTGGGCTTCTTTCAGGAGTGCCTCTTGAATCATCTCAGGCTGGTACTGGGGGGCTCTTAGGCCGTCTTGGACGCTCTTGCGACGGATGCGGCCACGAACCTGCCGTATGGCTGCTAGAGATGCCCGAAGATCCACCTTCTGCGCGTGAAGGTGCGGCAGAACGCGCCGCTCAAGCGGCACCATCGGCCCTGCGAGACGCTCCGCGCGCGTCCCGGCGGTGCTTTTGCTCGGCGGTCCGGGCTCTTCACTCCAAGTGGACACTTGCACAGCGGAGGTGGTTCGCGCAAGTCTTGTGGTGGTAAGGCTTCGGGCTGCGCACAGACAGCCCCTCCAGATAGTCTTGGCTGGCCTCAACAGTAGCCTCAACAGGCCTCCCGAGTAGCCTGGGGCGGTCTCAACACCCTCCGGCGGCGCCCATGTGTCGCTCCGCGCCCCAGTGTTGGGGTGTTGAGACCGCCCAGGGCTACTCGGGGGGGCCTGTTGCGGCCGGCCGGACTACTCGGGGGGCCTGCTGAGGCCAGCTAGGACTACCGAGGTGCACTGCAGCCAAAGCTCTGAGGTAAGGTGCCAACTCGGTTTCGAAAGGGGCTTTCGGATCGTTCCATGAGTATTCCCCTGGCGTTACCCCCATCCGGGCGTAGTTCAGTCCCGAAATGGGTTTTGTTCGTTATCTAGTTTTGCTTGTGACGGAACTTTGGCCGTACGTAAGGTCCCAGCGCACGATGTTGCATCTACTCCCCCCAGGCCCTGACCGCGGCGTGTTTTTTGGGTGTTTTTACTTTTTTATGTGGCTGGTGCGCCATACAGTGTTGCAGCCCCAGGGGTCCCAGACGCGTGCGGGTTGCAGGCGCGCGCCGCAAACAGCGGGGGCATCCGAGGGAGCGTTGGGACCCAAGGGCGAAGTTCGATATGTTCTGTAGCTATGTGCCAGTGGGTCTGGGGATGGCGGCTCGGCAGAGGCGGCGACAACAAAGTGCGAGCAAACGCGCGTGCGACCGAGCTAATCTCGCGATTCGCACATGTGCCACGCCTGTTTCGGAGCTCCAGCTAGAAACCCGCCCGTTGTCAAAGGTTCATGACCTTGGCGACCTTGGATGGCCCACTACTCTATATCAACGGTTGTGTAGCTGTGGTGTGCAACCTCTATCAGAGAGCCTTTCATCCAGCGTTTTCCGCGCGTGGCGGGCAGGGTACGCGCGACACCTGGACCCCGGCACCCTGACAACGCGGCAAACCGCCAGGATGATTCATTCTAGTGGTATGACCATGGGGCCGTTGCATGGGCAGCTTGACATGACCAGGTTGATGGTTGACGGCAGTATCAGGACGACGGCAGGACTTTTGTTGGAGCCGTCCGTGTTGCTTGCCGTCTCCCCTAGGGCTTCGAGGTAGGGAAGCAGTGTGAATTCTGTATCGCGGGCGTGCAGAGCACATGCAAAGCGGATGTTTGGCCATGACTGCTAGCACGTTGGTGCGTGGCAGTGCACGACAAGACGCACTTCCGCACGACACGGCCTACGTATACACTTGAAGTCCGCGGGCGCAAGCACGCAGGCGTCGGTCGAGTAACGGGAATGGGCGCTCCAGAGGAGAAACATGGGGCCGGGAAAGAGGACAGGAGGAGGGCGTGCGGGCAGCGGAGGCCGCACTTGGAACGTGAAGTCCAGAAGCGGGTGCTGGGAGAGCACGGCGAGATGCCGGGCGTGCGCAGAGAGGCAGTCCACGAGGCCGGCACGCAATTAGAGTCAGGGCCAGGGACACCGAGGTAAAGGTGGAAGCAGCGAAATCAAACCGCCGCACGTGACGGCGAGGAGACCAGGTGAAGATTAGAGCCCGGTGCGAAAGGTTGGAACCACCGTGGCGACGAGCATCGCAGCATCGACGGCCAGGGGCGGTAGAAGGCGGTGCTGTGAAACAGGCACGAGGGCCACACCTTATCCTGTACATTTTTGATACGCGGGCGCGCGAAACGGGTCGAACGCCGGGCGAGCGGGGGCAGGCTATGCCACCGGCTAAGGAAAACAGAGCAACGAGCAACGCCAGATGCGGGGCGGGAATCAGGCGGCCGAAGTGGCGCGAAGGCAACGCAGAATGGAAGCTCAAGCGCCACACTTACCCAGGAAGGCGGTGACGGAGGTGGGAAAGCCCATCCGGTTCACCATGGCCTGTACACGCAGCCGTTCTTTTTGGCGGGCGCTGGCATGGCCAAGACAATTTCTCCAGATGGCCTGGGCGCTCCGGGCGCAGGCAGCACCCGTGCGAGACGTCCCGCACGCGTGAGGAGAAGAAAATGAGGAGGAACGAGACGAGGTCGGGGAGGAGGAGAGGAGGCGAAGGACGGGCCTGGGAAGGAGGAGAAGGGGAGTGCCCCCCTGCAGAGGTTGCGTTCCACGACTTCAAGGACGTCCCGGCGTACTTCAACTGCTGGGAGCAGTCCCTAGGCCCTGTTGGCGTGCAGGAGTACGCCGAGCACACGGTCTGACCTGCGCGCGGGTGCCAATCCCGCGGGCTTGACGACTCTTATCCGACCGATTTGCGTGGATCGATGAACGAGCTGGATCGATTAGGGTGGGTCATCAAGCTACATCCAGAGATGTCCAGATAAATCGGGCACAACTCGAAGGAGCTCGAGCGCAAGTCGGTCGGAGGACAGCAGGAGCCGTTAAGCCCCCAACGAGCTGAGCCTCTTGCCGGCATACCCAGACATGGCGCGTCCTGCAGGAGCCTGGCCTCGTGGAGCGCCGCTGGCCGTTCGGCGAAAGGTCGCGCCGGCCCGCCTCCAGCAACTCGCGGCAAGCGTATGTCGCGACCTCGGCTTTTTGGTAGCAGGCCTTCGCCACACGCGCCGATGGGAGTCTTTCGCCACACCTCACTATGAAGGGCACGGGTCCTGAGAGATATGAGTTTGGAAGGTTTTTGGTCGTGTTTGGGTTCTCGGGGTGCGACGGGCTTTGGCACTGTTGAGAAACACCTGAGAACAGAACACCTTGCTTGCAGTATCAATACGGAGACAGTGGATGTATCTATGTAAACACACATATGTCCCTGATCGGTTCATGTGCATATGCATGTATGTATGTATATATACATACAGCAAGGAGGTTACTACTTCAATGTAGCTTCTTACCTCCCATAGCCGCATGGGGCAGTTCTTCTACGTTCCCCAAACATGATTGGCACGTAGGGGGTTCTTACTTGTCTCCGAAGGAACTGGACCTGGCTGCCAATTCCGCCTCCCTGTGGTGGCCCCGTCGCCGCCCGTCGCCACCCCTCGCCTTGGCCTGGCTGCCGGTCCCGCCGCCCCAGTCGCCGCACGTCGCCGCCCTTCGTCTTGACCCGCTTGTCGGTTCCACCGCCTTGTGGTGGCCCCGTCGCCGCCCGTCGCCGCCCAGCGTCTGTTTGAACACAGAACGCACCACGTACAGTGTTTAACCGATTGGCACCGCACAACTCACACCACTTCGTTGCTCCACATAGAGTGATTGACATAGCTTAAACCAGATCGCTCACACCACATAGATTGCACCACATGGAGTGCACCACGCAGGTTGCCCGCACCACATGGATCGCACCACTTAGATTTAAGCTCATTGATAACACCACCCAGTTGCACCGCGTAGACTGCAAGAGGCTCTTGTTTGAGATCCACGCTGGCCGACATGGTTTTGTATGTTTTGTTGGTCCACGTCCGTCCGACTCGTGAACTAAGACCACGCTGTGATTTCCCACCATCCGGCCCGGGCGCGATCCGTCATAAATGTTTTTATGTGGTAGGCGGTTGCTTGATCCATGCTGGGAATCCTTGGGAAATCAAACAAGGCGGGCCACATGCGCGCGCTCTCACGCGCGTGTGAACACACATCTGAAAAATACATGGTTTGTGCTTCAGCATCGTGCTCGTGAAACCCATGTGAAACATATGGGTGTTCAACCTAATTCTTCAAAGTAATATCAGAGTTGTTTGCGCGCGCGTGCCAATACTCACCAACGCCAGCATCAAGATGCGGATATGAATTCATCAACTTGTTCGGTCATCTGAGGTGATTCAGCGATCAAGTTGGCAATATGCTCAACGGTCGGACCATATGCGCACGTTACGGCTCTACTTGGCAATATGGGGTTGTTCGGATGCGATAGGGTCTAGAATGACCACAGTTGTGTGATCGCGTGGGTGGGTGGGTACCATCGCGTTCAGCAACAAGTGGGACTGTGCTACCCCTTACAATGTAATGTGATCTACGCATATTCAACTTTTCAAAAAAAAAAACCACAAGAGTTATATGTAACCGATTTGCTCTTTCATCTTTACTTTCATGCCACCAAATGTCTACATTGCCTCATACTCTGGACCAACGGGATCCGCCCCGAGCATTATATTATGTGTGTTTCATCTGTCTCCTTGACCCCACGCCCATCCTGCCCATGAAATAAAACTACGCGCTGATCCTCCCCATCCGGCCCTGGCAAGATCTCTTGCAAATGATTTGATTGATTCCGGCCCATCCCGCCACTGAGCTTGGGAGGCCTTTCGGGTGCTTTTGTTGGGGGAAATATTAGGAGGCCCCTCGGACGCCTTTTGGAGGCAGTTCTGGAGTTTCTGAGGTATCTTTGGGGCACGTTTGGGACTCATTCGTGCCTGTTGGGGGCCTTTGGGTTTTTTGGGTGGCCTCTGGGGGACCTGTTGCCAATCTCGGGGGTCAACTTGGGGTTGGGAGCTCCGAGTATCAGTTGGTATTCTCCCTGGTGGGGCTCTTGGGCCGGCGTGGAGCGGTGGAAGTCCGGAGAGGCTAGAGCGCAAAACCGGTCACGAATTCATGGAAGCCCATTAGCAGTAGCAGTATGGGTGTTTTCTGGCTTCCCCAAATACAGGGGACACGACGTGCCTCAAGGCACGGTGGCCGATGTTATCACGCGGTGGGCAGATCTGACCAGCGTCCCGAATCCCCAGTGGCAAGTCCAGTGCGTGCCACATGCGCGCGCTCGCGCTCGAGATGCAGAACAAAGCGTGCGCGTGGAATGAGTTCATGACGGAGCCCTGCAAGCACATGTTGACAAACACGTACCCGTCGGTGAGACATCCGAGTATTCGACAGAAAATTTGTGCACGCGACAATGTACATCAACGACCGAATCGGGATGCGCGCGTGATCACCTCGATCGAGATGCGCGCATGAGTTCGTCCATTCGACCGGGACGCGCGCATGAGTTCATCATTTCGAACGGCCGTCCGATTGGATCCCGCGAGCATGTTATGATCGTCAACAAGTCATCGTCGGTCATTTGTGCCACTGTCCCCCGGCAGCAGCGCGGAGGAGCTTTCTAACGCGATTGGTTACGATAGATTGCGAAGGAAAAGTGTATGATCGCGCTGCGATGGGATGAGGGGTGGAGCTTTCTGGTAAGGAGGGCGTGTGGGCATGATAGCGCTCCGCCAGGACCACCCTACTCTGCTCTATATCATCCGCCAGTAACACGTGTTATACATATACCAATTGTTTTCGGATAGCTATGTTCCCCCGCGAGTTGGCCCGAGCCCCACCGGGCGAGGCCATTTTCTGTGTGTGTGTGGGTGTGTGTGTGTGTTTGCGCATGTTGCATGGGCTCCACGCCCATCACACCCATGAAACATTATCACGCGGTGATTTCCCCGGCCTGCCCAGGCGCGACACTTTGCGAAGCATCCAGTTGCCTGCGGCGAGTCCCGCCACAGGGCCAGCCCATGACGCTGGGCGGCGACTGTTCGGGGGGCGCACAGGAGCTCGTAGCGTGCGACACCTCGTGTCCCGAGGCTTCCGAGACCCGTCGCATGTGACACGCTCTTCCGCGTTGTGTCGGAGGTTCTCGAATCGTTGTCGTCGTCTTCCTCGTTTTCGTGCGTCGTGTCTGAGGCTTTTGTGTGCCAGTCTGGGGTGGCCCCGCGGGCCAAATCGGACCGCTTTGGTACCCTATTCGGCCGTTCTGGTGCTCGTTTGTGCCGTCTTCGGGCCCTCAGTGCCGTCTGGGCGGTCTCTTACGGCAGTCGCGGGGCCGTCTCTTGGCAGGCGGGGGGCTCTCTAAGTTTGTCGTGTTGGGTCCTTCCTGAGGTCCTCTTGGGCCAGTGTGGCGCCCCCTTGGGGCTGTCCTGGGCTGCCTGGGGGCCCTTTGGGCTTGTTTGGAGGTCGCATTGGATGAGTATTGGGCCATTTTGGGGCCGCGTTGGCCGTCTTGGAGGCCTACAGGAACCCAGAAAAGTAAAGACGCCCGAATATTTGAAAGGCTAAAGGGAAACTGTGTATTTGGCCTCTTCGGGCCCTACTCGGGGTTCGCTCGTGATCCTCTTGGGCCGTCTTTGGGGCCTTTAAGGCTATCTTGAGGACATTTTGGGCCGCCTTGGGGTCTTCTGCCTTGCCACCGAGGCATATTGAGTCAACTTGGCGGCCTTGGTTGCCTTCCTCGGCCGCCATCGAAGGTCGGCAGCACGGACCATTGTTTTTCATTGGGGAGGTGAACGTTGCGTTTTTTGCCACGATGGGGTTGTTTAGACGCGATGGGGTTGCAAGGGGTAAGGCTTCATGGTAGGGCGGGTGGATGGGTATGACCGCGTTCCGCAACAAGCTGGTATATATTATGCCAGACTGCTCGATGTTCAGTTACACCAAACCATAGTGGTTTAGGATAATCCTCCCACTTGGGCCAGACCGAGTCAAGCTCGCTCATTGATAAGAGTACCCAGATGCGCGCATGGGCTCACCAATTCGCACGGTCTCTTGAGAGGATTCGGCGAACAATGTGGGGAGACATTCACCTACGGGACAAGCGGCGCATATTGCGGCTTGCTGGGTAAGATTGGACTGTTTTTTTTGCGCGACGGGATCAGAAGGAGCGATCGATGGTTTCTGATTGGGGACTTGGGCTTCTGGGCCCTTTTACACAGTAAATACAGATACTCCGCATTGAGGACAAGTGACGCCTGAGGACCTGAAGACACTTCTCGCGCGCCTCGAGGCACGGCGGTGGATACCACTACGGCCAGAGAACACCAGAGACCACGAGCCACGACCAGCGACCACGAGCCAGAGACCACGAGCCACGGCTTCGGGATCCGGGGGCGCACGAGCCACGATCCCGCGAGCCACGGCCAGATACCACGAGCCGCGAGCCCCGACCAGAGACCACGAGCCACTACCGGGAACCAAGTCGAGACCACGGCACGAGACCGCGGGCTGCGGCCTCGGGACTGCGCCAATGCCCCACGGGGCCTCGAAAAACTTGCACAGGACCCTCACGGACGAACTGTTCAGGGAGAACGGTTCGGGATGAAGAACGGGTCCCAGGGGAAGGCCCCGGGGTTCAGGACCTGCCTCCTTCATGCCAAGCAGCCGCCAACGCTTCCTTTCCATTCCTCGTCCCTGTTTCTTTGCGGATTCTGCGGAGTCTGCAGAGGGAGGAGGGAGGGGGGGGGCAGTATGCGTACCGCTGAGGAGCAGTGCCGATTTAAGGTAC